TGCAACGTGGCACGGAGCCTGCCTGCAAGTTTTGGGCTGCCTCTTGGCTACTGGTTCTTTTTTGCCGACAAGCCGCAAAAAGAGGAGAAGTGGAAAAAAGCTAACAAAAAGAAAACCTCCAGCGGCCAAACGGTAGCCCCTTGTCAGAGCCCACATATGATTCTGACTGCGATCCCCTGTCCCTGAATTCCCCCTTTCCACAGACCAATCTCAGTCTCGCATGTGCGGCTGCCAAGTTCCAAGTACGTAAATCTGGAGGCTTTTTGTTCCTTCCCTCCGTCGCTTTTTTATTTTTTATTTTTTAAATATGCTACGTGCAGCGACAACCGACAAACTCGACTGGAGAACGTGCTGCGTGCGGAGTATTTGTTGTTTGAAACTCGAAAAAAAGGCTACAGAAGAAACAAAAAGTTGCCAAGAAGTTGCCGACAACGATGTCGGTTGACTTTGTCATATGAAAAGTAAACAAACGACAGGCAAAAGGCAGCAAAATTCAGGCCCACACAGACCAGGCCAAGTCGAGTCAAGTCAACCGGGTCCGAAGAATCATGGTGGGAAAAGAGGGAGCCAGGGGCGTGGGCCAAGGGGATGGGATAACCTATAAGCAGGTCAGAATCTTGGCGGGAAAAATGGCAAAAGTCGCGAGGGATATTAGAACTTAATCATGCTATGTGCTCAGACATTGGGGAAAGTTCTACCTCAGATTTATTTTGTATATTTTAAAAGGATTTATAGGATAAGTATTTTAATTTTAGAATATATCATATTTTGTATGATTATAGGGTATGACGCAATTAAAAGCTAGAGTGCAGAGCTTGTTTACTTGATCCTGAAACCCCTTTCTCATACTTCCCACCTCCACCCCTGCTCCCTTTCAACTTTGTCACATAGTTCAGGACACTCAACGAAACTTCACATTAACTCTCGCGAACGTCGCACACGTCTGAACTTCTCAGACCCAAGGATCCCACTTAAGCCCTCCGGCTCAAGATTGTTTGTGGCACTGACGAAAAATAGTTAATTATAGTGGCAAGTGGCTTACGCGGAATGGCGACAATTCCCAGAGCCAGGGCAATAAAACTATTTTATGACCAAAAGTTTCGCATTCACTGAGAGCCCAAAAAAAACTTGATTTAATAAAAGTTTCTTGTTTGCTTAAAGAATATTAATAATAGATGGGGCTGGGAAAGCGACTGGATGCAATCAGCTTATGCAAATCCTTGTTGATTTTAAAATAATGAAATCGTCCTGGCCAGTGCATGAATAATCCACAAACGTTGGACTGGGCAAACATCCTTGGCTCACCGTGGCGTATACGCAATTCCTGTTATTGTGCGCCTGGCCGGCGTAATGTAATTGCAATCGAAAGACAAAGCCAAAGTCGTGTGCCTGGGAAATGCGCATATTTTCATTAAATATTTAGCCAAATGGTCGCCAGTCTCGTTCTTTTTTCCCTGCGAGGGGAAAGGGCTGCGGGCGAATCCAATACCCATTCTCGACTTTATGTGCAGAAACTTAATTTGCCGCCGTTTGCACAAAAATTGCTCGCATTTTGGCTGTGTGTCTGTCTGTTTGTATTTGAGGTAATTGTGCAAACAAATTGTGGCGGAGGGGCCGCCCACAGTTGGCCCACCAAAGTGGCAGAAGCTCACAATCAAAGGCGGGGGCGGGCCAGAAACACTGAATTTGTCGCCCATGCCAAGGCGACGACTTCGTTCTTGGCGCAGCAGCTATAAAAACACCATAAACAGCATGAAATTATGTGAAATACTTCACCAAAGTCAAACGAAAAGCGGGGGAACTATTTTTGAGAGTCTAGGAATTCCACTAGGGTTTCAAATTAAGTTGGAAGTCAATAAAAGTATGCAAAGGGGTGCCTGAACAGTTCTAATAAAATCTTTATTTTATGTCTTCATTTATAAATAAAAGTTGAAAGATATACACACTTGATTAAAGGTTAACCTTAAAGAAATAACATTATTCCATTCAAAAAATGTAGTTGTCCTAAATAAAACCACATTACTTCTCTAGAATAATTCCAAATTACTATATATCTTGTAGAGACCAGAAAAACAGATGTGATTGAACCGAGAAGTATACAAAACACAAACCGAAAAAGAGAATCCGAGAGATACGCAGAGAGCGTGTGTGTTGAAATATCTAGGCCGCATGCACTTGAGATGCATTTTTCCGCCAGAAGATACAGCCAAGAAATTACTGAATGAGTTGGCCGGCTGCGTGGGCAATCGAGATGTTGGCTGTTGTTCCTGGCGGGTCTTTTCTGTTTTTGTTTCATCCGCTGCTCTCCAAGAAGCCGAAAATGAATTAACAATTTATGCGCGTGACGCATTCTGGGCTCTCAAAGTCAAAGCCGAGACAACAACGAAGGCAAACAAAAACAAAATATAAATCTTCAAAGCATTCCTCTTGGCAAAAAAGTAAAAACAAAACAGAAGCAGCGGGCGAATTGTTGTTTTTAGCCAGCTAACTTGAAGGGAGATAAAAGGAGGCGGTAGGGGAAGGGGCAGGGGATGGGGACTTGGCCAAGTAGTTGGCAGATAAAAGCCGCTATAAAAACTGTCAAATAAACATCAAAGCGGATGCGCAACGCTTGACATGCTAAAATATACTTTATAGTCATGCGTGGCTCTGTGAGATTGGGATGAGAATGTATCTGAATTCGTATCTGTGAGATGTATCTGGCGTCTATCAGTGTGTGGGTCCGTTTAATGGCTTGTCGGAGGTGCCAGATATAAAGGGGGTTGCCCTGTATGCTATGTAGGGTGTTCGCCAATGCTAAAGTAATAGCACATGGCATAACATAACATAAAAACATTGATGGCTGCAAATGATAGAGAGCCCGCCAGGGGCGGGGACCGGAGGGGGTGATGATTGATGTTCTTATTGAAATATGATAGAAAATAATATTATACGTGGCGATGAATAATGTTTGGCAGATGAAGTGGAAGTGAAGTGTGGCAAGAGCAAAAAATGGAGAGGAGAAAAATAATTTCTGAATTTATGTATCATGAATCGTTATAAATAAACAATTTCAATCCTATTAAACTGATCATTTAAAGTAATTATTTACTTTACTATCACATCAATTACGGAATCCCGTTTACGTGCCTTTTAATTGGTCATATTATCTTGCTAATTGAACAATATTTACGTAAGTTTTTATAAGTTACTGAATCGAAAGTAATTTTTTAAGGCATATTAAACTCTGTTTGTGTAATCTAATAAACTAGTATATAATGTTTCAATTATACAATTTAATAGATGGTATTTAAAATAGAGTATTTATAACTATTTTTTTGACTCTTAAGTTTCTTATGTTTCCCATTTAAGGTTGGCCCATGTATTAATTTTATCTCCGTTGTACAAGGTATTCCATTATTTAAATTGACATTTCCCAAAGGACCTTAGGCATACAAATATATTCCTCCTTCCTCTGACAAATAATGTCAAAACCATTTTCAATTTTCACACCGAAATTACAGATCGCATGTGTTGCTTGGGGGAACACCAAAAATATTCCAAGCCCCCCTCTGAGCCACGCCACTGCCCGCGGCTACGCATGTTGGCCTCCCCAGCCCATTGGCACATTAGAAAACGTGACAAAAATTTCATATTGATGTCTTCTTCTGGAAGATGGGGGAAATCTTCCCCATTTTCCCCCATGCGTTGTGTTTTTTGATGATGCTGCTAAAGGCAATACATAAAATTTTCACACAACCAGAACGATGTCGGAGAGGAGGACAAAGTGTGAATTAGGCGCAAAAGTTGAAAGAAGCATAATAATTCAGTTCTGTGTATATATTTTATTATTATAACACTACGAAGGCTTTTGAAGTGCCTTCTCGTGCGAGTTCCACAATGGGAGAGTATATAATAATCACTTTTCAAGTATTTTGTCGAGTTTCTGTTCGAGTGCATATGTCAGTGGCAGAAAACGAGAGTTTCGGCCGAAACACGCCTCAAGTTCGTAATTTGTACAATTTTATTGTCTCTCCAGCGAGGCGCATTGTGCGTAAATTTCTTGGTAAATTATTTATACAAATTTTATCTCTTATCTCGCATTTGGCATTGCAGGTGGTCGTAAAAGAAGCCGCCTTGTAATAATAAAGCGCATAAAACTTGAGATGTTGTCTCGGTCTCACTCAGCTGGCTGTCTGTCCATCTCCGTCTGGCTGTCGTGTGTCGCGCAATTTTTACATGACCATAAAAAGGGCCAAGAGTCAACAGCTACACAAAGTCAACACCAAAAACAACCCAGTACGACACTAAAAACAAAACAAAAAGCGGCACAATAATTTACGTAAATGCCTAGGCATAGGCGATATGTGATATTCGAGGGTTTTTCGGTGCCAGTTTGGGCAGAAGTGGGGGCTACGGAAACCGTGAGCGACAGCTTTGGGTCTTGAGTTTGGGGCAAAAACGTTGAAGTCTTGAGTTTGAAGAATGTTCAAGTTGGACTAGAGGAATTTCGACATCCGACACTGCGGAACTTGCTGAGCGAAGTTTATTATTGGTAAATCTAGCAGGGGCATTTGACGCATTCCATTTAATGAAGAACATTTTGGAAAGCCTCTTAAAATAAGATCATTTTTTCCGGAACTAGAATAAAAACCATTTAATGTTCCTGGTATATAATCCCTATTTATTAAAAATGCACCCTTAAAAATATGTAGTTCCATTTTACCAAATGCTTGGTATAGTGCATACTGAATTCAGAATATACAATGCAAAACGTATTATATTACATGAATTAATTTGAATATAAGGTAAAATATATAAGAAGGAATGAGTCACACTAACTTCCAACATATGTTATTTATATTATCATATTTTAAACTATTGGAACCGCAACATGTCGTTACTACTTTTATTTAATCGGTGGTTATCTCTTTATTACTCATGCTGATGTTTTTAAATGGGTTGCCTTTCGGATAGATAATTGCTGAATTCTTTCATGGATTTTATATGTTCATACTCACCCCTTTCTGGTTGCCCAAATACTTTCGATCCCACCCTCGCAGCATCTTGCGGGAGGCCTTCCGAATACGACACTTACCCTATCTTATCACCCGTCTAAAAGTTCCGAGCGCTACGAGCACCGAGTGTCGCCAGCCTTGTTCCGATACAAAGTACATGCATATTTACACAATTCGCTGCAGCTTCTACGCTTTAGCAATCAAATTACGGGGCAACAACAACGGCTGAGACAGGGTGACAGCGTGAAAACTGGAGCATTGTTTGATTGACATTTGATTGACAAACAGAGTCGCGGAATAAGCAACATCTAGAATGAATACGCATAACTAACTGCCATGGGAATGGGAAACTTTTTGCCGGCGACATTCGAAAAATGTTGATAAAATTCCAGAAAATTGGCGCCAGCAAAAAAGTAGACACAGTGGTTCGAAGGCAGCGAGTAATTTGCTTATGTCGGAAATTAACGCCTTTGAGTTAATGGCCAAAAGCAACAACAGTTCAGCATCTGCCCATGGGCAACAAAAACAACAGCCTTCGTTTATTATGCCGCTCATTCATTATTGTTTTTATTTTCCCCCCGCCTTTGTTGTTGCTGCGGCGAGTTTAAGCCCGCTGTTTGTAATTAATTTCCGTTTGTGTGTAGCCGCAGCAAACTTGGGCGAAAAACTTAAGTAAACCGCAGCAGGAGACCTAGAGGGAGAAAGACATACATCGGAAGAGGAAGAGAGAGGGGAGATAAAGCCAAGTTAGCACACACGTTCATAAATTACAAATATGGAAAAGATATAACGATTGGTTCATGCCCTAGGCTTGGGTTTATTGGTACTAAACTAAAACTAAAACTAATTTTGAGTTAGGAGTAGAAACGTAGGTCTTCAGAAGGTTAAATGACCTAGTATTTAAAAAAAAATCATTTGTTTTAGTGCCTATCCTACCTCACTAACAATCTTTCTGGGGAGATACATCTATTGAGTTTAATGTTGAGTTCAAGAAAGTTTACCAAATGGTAATGGTGTTAATTGTACTCCAACCAATTATATAAAAACAACACATCTAAACTTAAAAACATGCTTAAAACATGATTACACTGATGGATTTTTTTTAAAATTGATATTTTATAATCTGCATGTTAACAAAACCCATCCTCTATAAGAAATTAGGTTCCCAAACTCATAGCGATCCCCTTCAAAAGAGTATTCAAGTTGAAACATTGCCAACTTCATGTGTAATTTGGTATGCCCATCTCTGGCTTATAGAGATACAAAATCCAGCAGATACAAATGCCCGGCAAACCCGTTTTCCGAACACGTTGCGAGCGGCGGAGATGAAGGCCTCCAACCAGCCGACACGCGCTGAGCTGGGGCTCAGCTAAAAGCCGAGGGGGGTGGGAACAGGGGCTAAGGGGGTCCAGAAGGGGCCGAGAGGGCCAAGAGGGGCTCAGAGGGCCGCCGAGCTAGGGCCTTTCGTACGGCCATGTGTATCGGACAAAGGCACGCTCGATCTGGCCGATGTCTTCTGACGTCGCCGATGTCGGCATTTGCCTCACTTGATTTGTGACATTAAAGAAAAGTTATAAAAACGCCGACCGAGCGGCGAAACAAAAACTGCATTATCCATCCGCAAATAGCCCTTCACTCGGGGCAGCTCGAAAGGTTTGGGTTTCCCGGCCCGTCACCATTTCGCCGTGAACTTCAGACGCCGATAAGTCCGGGGAGTCCGTCTCCGTCTCCGTTCCCGTTCCCGTCGTGTAACTGTTTGGGTAGGCGCACCGATTATCGGCGTTTAATTAAACGTTACCAGACCCGGTTCCCCAGCCGCCCCTTCTGTCCCCGGAACTCAGACCCACTCCCTGCGTCCCCTCGAAATAATTGCTACTGGTATTTAGCAAGCATTCCCCCCGATAAGATTTCGCCCCGTGAATGGTGCCGGTAAAATAAAAAATAACCAAGCAACGCAGCGCAACACAAAAGCAACATAAAAGTAGGTAACAAAAATTGAGGCAGATTTCTTTCGCTGATAGGGAATAATTTTAGGACCCGTTTGATTTTTGCCGGTCTTATTGCCCCGACTCGATAAGTGCCATGCCAAATTGTGGTTGTAAATTGTGGAGTGTCAAAAAAATATTATAAAAACAAGGAAGAACGCTATAGTCGAGTACCTCGACTATCAGATACCCGTTACTCAAAGGGAAATGGAGATATGCAAGCAGCAAAGCGAGATTAAAATGCGCCACCTACCGGCGGTAGACAGATTTAAGCGTTAAGGGCGTTAGAGTGGGCGTGGAAAATTTATTTTTGGATCAATCGATAGGTATTGACGACACCAATACATTTCAGTTAAAATTTTTTATCTAGCATGCAAATTGTGGGCGTCACAGGTTTTCGCGGTTTGTGGGCGTTTAAGTGGGCGTGGCAAACTTTTTTTTAGGTCAATCGATAGGTATTGATGAGAACATTTCAGTTAAAATTTTATATCTAGCGTCAAAACTGTAGGAGTTACAGTTTTGGGCGGCTTGTGGGCGTTAGAGTGGGCGTGGCAGTCTACTGAAACAAACTTGCGCTGCGTAAGAAGCTCAGGAATCTGAACGCCAAATCTCAATAGCCTAGCTCTCATAGTTTCCGAGATCTCAGCGTTCATCCGGACAGACAGACGGACAGACGGACAGACGGACAGACGGGCATGGCTAGATCGACTCGGCTAGTGATCCTGATCAAGAATATATATACTTTATGGGGTCGGAAACGCTTCCTTCTGCCTGTTACATACTTTCCGACGAATCTAGTATACCCTTTTACTCTACGAGTAACGGGTATAAATAGACGTCTAGTATGAAACACAAATGGGAAAGCACTTGAGTTGGTCTGATCCAGTGATCGAATTTTGATCAGGCCGATGATTAAGAGCGGGGCACATAAACAGTCTTATAAATTTAAAGAACTTAAAGAACATTTAAAAATGTTTGAAAATATCTTATGGCAATGATACTAAAGAAGCTCTTGAAATTAGCTAGTATAAACAATATAATTATTTTAATATGTTTGTAAACATCGTATTATCTTAAACACTGAAGCTATAGAAGCTCATGAACTTAGGCTTACTTTAAAAAAAGTATTTATTGTGCCATTTTGGTATTGTTTTTTTTTTGATATTTTCTTAAATTGCCTATTACTACAAAGTTTAGAAATTATAAAATTATAAATGTGATAAAACCTTTTGTACTACTTCCGCTAATTAAATACAATTCAAGTTAGCCACTTTTGGGCACGTGTTAGCTTAATTCAAACATTTTTCTAGACTGCTTCACTGGATGTTTTTTCTATCTTCGGATGCCCGCATTTTTCCCCGGTTTCTGGGTATCTCTCTTATTTTTTTGGCATTTGTTGATCTTTATCTCAGAGGGCTGAACATTTTTTGTTTTCTCGCCACTAGCCTGACTTGATGGTATGCGACTTCTCATTAATTGTTTGTTGCTTTGGTTATTGCCGGTCGTCCGCGTCAAAAACACTTAACTTCATTAACACTTACATGCCAGATACGAGATATCTGGCCACAACTACTCGGAGCAGCCAGTTTTGTTTTTCAGTTTATTCGGCTGCCTTTTCCCTCAGTTTTCTGCTCGGCCACACAGACGCAATTATGAAGTTTTATCTTTGGTTTATATCTTTTACTTTACGAATACTTTCGGCCTGGCCAAGTTGGCACATCGTCCGTCTAATAAATGGTGTTGCCAAGCGGCTCTTGAAGTTTATAACGCGGTTTTTCACAGAGAAATTAGTGAAAACTAGCTAAAATAACTAAATATAAAATAATATAAATATAAATATAATAACTAAAATATAAGAAAACACTTTTCTGTTTAATTCTTAAGTAAGAATTAGTCCAGTCTCCTATTTCCAACACTCAAATGGCCTATCTTAGTTGAATTATCTCGTAGATTGTGTGTTTATTTTTCGTTACTTGGCTTGTACACCTTTTCTAATTAAAGGTCGGCAGCTTGATGGGCCTGGGATCTCTGGCTTTCCGATTTTTCTGTTCTCGGCCGCTTTGTTCTGCGTTTAATTATCGCCTTTGTGTTTCTCTCAGTTTTCAACGTCTTTTTTTAAGCAAATACCGCGGCCTTTGCCGACGATCGTGGCGCCAAGATAAACCAAAAGAACATGTTTTGCTCTCAAGTGGCCGACACAATGGGAATCAACTTGTTGTTGCTGTTGAGTCATCAAGAAAGCATTTTGGCGTCTGATATGAAACACGCCGCCTGCAAATTAACTTTGGCCTAAGCCACTCCAAGCAGATATAGGCGCAAATTGAATGGCGAATGCCCGGGGCCAAAGGCTTACGTGACTCGCCGATGACCTACAAAAGGGAATTGGCGAGTGATGTATTATGAGAAAATGATATTTGGATTATTTCGGAGAATCGCAGGGGAAGAGCAATCAAATATTGAGGAAATAATCTTTAAAGCTTTCAAGTATTAGACAAGAAATATCACAGACTCTGGGGTTCTGCAAAAATCCTGTACTCATAAAAACATATTTCAAAAATTTGAAATATTATTTTAAAAGCTTTTGGATATTTATCATTAAATTTCAATGAAATATTTATTAAATTTTTATTTTAATCGATTTTTAAAAATATATTTTTAAGTGATCTTATTCCTGTATGTGTTGTTTTCCTGTATAATTTTAAGATTGCTAACAATTTCTGTAAATTGAGTCTACAAATAATTTGAACAGTAACACTTTTAACGAGAGCTTAAATCTGAAAGGTAAACAAGACCCATGCCCAAGCCCATTATGAACCAGTGAAAGCTCCACCCGTCAACTTCAGACGACTTTGAGATGCCAAGGGCCCCGCCCTGAAAACCTGGGGAACCCGAGAAACCCCACCCCGAGGCTCCGAACCTAGCCCTAAGCCTGCGGGCACAATGAATTGAATTTGTGCATTTGCGTAATGCGTGCGTAGGGCAGTCGGAATGAAAATGATTAGCTCCGGCCGCACGGACCACTTCAATTCCTCGGACGACCGCAATAGATAGATACTTTCGAGAGTCTGAGGTCTGGCCCAAGGGCTCCGACTTACCTGGGAGGTGAGTTCACAGTGTC